AGATTATAGGATTAACTAATTACACAATATGACTCAGAAATCCATGTGATCCTTCAAATCAGTGTTTTGGAGTGAGATGTGCACGAGTAGGGAGGAGAAAAAGGATTTCACATAATGTCAATATAAAAAGCATTTTTAATAACTGATTTTAAACTATCTACTGTGGGGATCTAAAACATATATTAAATACAAACACATAAATTACTTCCTGGTATCCACTTGCCCTCTGTGGGGCTAATCCTGTAAACAATTTTTGAGCTGTGTAGTATTATGAACAGTCCCCAAAAGGATTACAAAAAATGGTTGTAAACTGTATTCCTAGTAATAAGGATTTATAGGATAAGGCCTCATAAAATTAAATCCTGCACTTATGTTTAAGGAACCGTTCCTATTTTCACATGAATAATCTTACTAGTCTCAATTTAATGGTTTGTATGAAAAGGAAATACTGCAAGTTGAAAGGTAAATACTGTGTTGGACCCCAATCAGTATCTCAGACAGAGTTAAAATGGAAAGTTAACGTGTTCTTTAATACTTGTTCAGAAAAAAAATTAGATTAATTGAAGTCTACTTTTTAAAAGTATCTGCTACATTCAAAAACAGTTGGTCTACATTTATGCAAAGTTACAATTACAGTGGCCAGAATAATTAGAAGCAACTCTGAAAGCAAATAAAATATAAAAATTTCTCACATTCAGAATTCAAAATATAGATATATATTCAGAATTTCAGCCCACTGTGGATTGTAATGCTGTGTTTGTACAAGTTCCACTTACATTTAACATCTGAAATAGGCTGTTGAAAAAGTAAAATATTAAAAACAGATCCACAAACTCTAAGAGCTCTTTAAAGCACCATTCAGGAATGCAATCTGGAAAAACCTGAACTCACAATTTCTCCTCCAGATGATGAACCACACTAGTGGAAATAAAGGGGAGAGAAATAGTCTAAAAGAAGAAACAAGTCTTGAGTTTTAGCAGCTAAACAAAGGAACTACAAGTCAGAAATAAGTGTTCGTCTACACAACTATGCAATTCTATTTACATATGACTTGAATGTAGATGCACAGAATAATTTCTAGGACAAGTTTGGTAGATGGGTGATGAACAATCACAGTATACGATGCAAATAAATCTCATTATACTTCCTATCCCGGATATAACATTAAAAAAGCAGAGCAATTAGTACTTTACTCCTAATCCAATCGCTTTTGTTTCTAACTATACTGGTTTCAAAGATCAGCATGAAAAAGATGCAAAAAAATGTAAAGACACAGGAAAATATCCATTTCCAAATTTCAATCATTTAGAAAAGATGAAAATAAAATATTACTTCACGTACCATATGAATTTTCCATGTTCATATCCCACATAGCTTGCTATTAATGAATGCGTAAATACCATTTGATTTTAAAAAGTGATCCCACTAGTTACTAGGAAAATAAATGTCTTATTAATCCATCATAAAACTAAATTATAATTTATGTACTTACCTTGAGGAAAAGAATTTGGTTGCACAACGTAAAGGAAAGAATGGACTATGCTAAACAAAATTCCTATTGGTCCAGGTTCGTAATATGCATGTGTATCATAAGTCTTCACAGGTACAAACCCAAAATCCAAAGTTCCAGGAGGTGATTTGTGTATAGGCTGCATCTCTGAAATTGTACTTCCACAAAGCAACAGCAACAGTAAAAGTTCCACAGCCATGGCTCCCAGTATTCATAAAATTTGAGGTAGAGATCTTGTCCCCAAAATCTGAAAAACTTCAGCACATTAGAAATATCCTCGCTGGGAATGAAATCTCTCAGCAGGAAAAAGCTGATGTCCTCAATCCCTTGATTAGTCTTGAATGTACACTTGCGCTGGAACCATGTAGAAGCTTTTCACACAACTGAGTTAGAGCACCATCTCTGGCAAAGACAGAAAACAACTGCTTAATGACTGTCCTCACTGTAGGAAAATATAAAAGCACAAAATGCCTGTAATCTTATGTGGAAGTCTAATGTGAAAATAATTGCACTGGCAAGCTAAACAGAAGAGAATAGAACAATTTACTCCAATGTGTGGAAAAATGTAACCTATCGTATACCCAGTTCTTGAAAGAGTAAAACACTAATTAGTGACAATCTAGTTCTTAGAGTCTTCACAAATAAACAGAAAATACAAAATTGGGACCCTAGTGTAAGGAGCAAATGGAATTAAAGGAATAAATATTTACTGCAATTATAGCTGTAACAAAGCAAGATTTGTTGTCTTTAGTCACAATAGAATCAGGCAGTGCATTTAATTAGAGCCTCAATGTACAACCCTAAATGCATTTAACCAGTCTTCTGAACTGATGTTTGTATCAACTTAAAAGCTTCTATACCCCAAGTTTCCATAACCTCAGTGTTGCCAAACTTATTTTCACATGGATTAGCAGCTCTGTATTTATCTTTGAACTTGGGGCTCTTTTTTACTAACTGGGGGCATGGATTCCGCCTCAAAGAAGGATTTAAACTTCCATTAATTTCATAGTATCAGTCTGATACAGCTAAGGACCAACTCAAATCATGATTCCGCAGATTTGGTGTAAAAAATTAAATCGAGTGATGTCACAAAGGTTTGAGAAAAAACAGCTCACTACAAATAAAATGCTGGCTCCCCGGTGAGCCAGCAGTCCTCAAGGCCACTGTAGCTCAGCCATTCAGCCTGCTAGGTGGGGAAGGGGCTGCCAACACAAATGACAGTAGGCAAGATGGCTGCTGCTCCCACCCCTCATTGGCTGAGAGGGCTGCCTATCATATGGCCCTGCCCCTCTCCACCAATCAGTGGTGAGGGGCAGGACTGCATGATGGACAGCCCTCTTAACCAGTCAGCGGCAACGGACGGGGCCAGCGGGCCCCTCAGGTAGAGTCATAGGGGGTGGTCCACCACAATAAGCCCATAAAATGGCAACTGGCCCTGTGATCTGCCTATGAAATTAGCTGCCTGTCTCCTCAGATTAGATAAACCCTTAGATATAGCCATGGGAAAGCAATTACCCCATATTTCTTATCACTGATACCAATTCTGATGTCTTCCTCATATGCATAAAATACAGAAACGACATCCAACAACATATATGGCTTTTTAAAATATCTAAATCATAGCTCTAACCAAATTAAAGAAATATAGATTAGTACATCAAACCTATAATTTATTTCATGCAAAAATATCCCTCATGTGTATTGTTACATATGCCCCTTTCTTTACCATAGAAAATAATCTAATGCAGGGTGTCAACCATATAGCTCATGGAGCTTCTCTATCCATTCTGCTTGGCTACTGGTGAGCCACAAGAAGTTCAGCGGCACGACCTTCAGTGAAATTCAAGGCATTTTGGCTCTGCTGGCCATGGGTACTGGAAAGGAACTTGGCTCACCACTGTGACCTCCAGATACTTTCCCTAGTCCCAGTGCTGCTGCTAGACCCCTCCTACTGCCAGCAGATCCATGTGTCTCACCACCACTGTGCCCACAGCAACTGGCCCCATACCATGGCCCACACCTGGCTCACAAGGAGCCCCATGGACTGGATCCAGTTTGGGGCCTGTGGCAGGGCACTGTTCGTGCCTGCCACTTTAAGATCAGAGCCAAGCAGCCAGCAGGCGCCTGTCTGCAGCAGCCATCTTAGATTCAGGGCTGCCTATATGAGCAGAGCATTTGGCTGCTGGCAGGTGAGGCAGGAACACTGCCTGGCTGTGAGGCTTCCTGGAACATCCTGGACGTAAGGGAGGAGCTGTAGAGGATGGCTAGGAGGCTCCTGGTCCTGGGCATGACCTAAAACTGCACCCTGCCGGGAGTGGGTGGCCTGGTAGGGCTCTCAGTGGTGTGGGAGCCCCCAGGAAATGCCAGGCCAGTTACCACCTCAGTGAAAGGTGGGTCAGGACACCTTAACCCCTGGCCCCCACAACCAGGTGGGTCACCTGCTAATAGGGCCAGAAGGCAGACTCCAGAGATAGAGTGGGGCTAGAGACTCAGACTAATCGAGAGAGTACACTTGACTGGTCAATGCTGGGGCCAGGCCCAGGATAGTCAAAAAGGGCCAGGGGCCCACCGTGAGGGATGCCCAGAGCTAGGAGGGCCTGGGGTTTCCGCTGGTCTTGGAGGTAAGGCTAGTACCTGTATGGCCAAAGGTCCCGGGGGGACCACACCCGAGACAGGAAAATAGTTTCAGGGAGCTAGATAGCCTGAATGAAGGCAGGGTAGGCCACCTGAATGGAGGGATCTTGGAGGGGTCCTGACAGGAGGATTCTGGGGCCCAGTGGGGGCCGGTTGAGTAACAGCTGGATGCCATCTGCGAAGCATGGGCTGTGGTGTAAGGGAGGTACAGAGCTACAGATAGTGCCCCCTGGCATCGGGACAAGGAAATGGGCAGCCTCCCACTTAATTAATAACTATTAATTAAATAGCATCAAGGTGTGGGGGGTGAGAAAGCAGGCAGTTGGCCCAGAAACAGGTGGGCAGGGCCAGTGGTATACAGGCCTCAAGAAGGCCCCCTGTTACAGAGCCCCAAATGAGTCTGACACCCCTGATCTAATGCAAGTTACACATCTCTTTCATTTTATAACCAAGAGGAAATCAAATAACTGTACTGAAGTGAAATGCTTAGACCAGTTGTGCTGAATCTTTTGGCCCCATGAGCCACATGAATAGTGCAGGGCCTGTCTGAGGGCCGGATCAGACCCTGGGGGTGGTCTAGAACCAACCCATTCTGCCACCCCTGCCCAGCTCCCCACAAAAGGATTGGGCCCTGGGGCTCGGTGCCACCCCCATCCAGCTGTGCATGCTGGGATTGGGTGCAAGATCCAGCATGCAGGGTCTGGAGCTCCCCATATATCTATAGCTGTGCCAATGCTTCCCTATCACCAAATTTCTGAACCCATGGGGAGTCCTACAGGCCAAACAACATGCTGCTGTGGGCTGGATCTGGCCCAAGGGCTGGAGGTTGAGAACCACTGTTCTAGATTCATTAATCTGCTCTCCCAATTCTTTTCCCAGATGCCATTGTGGACTTAAAATCTACTCATAAGTGGGAAATTTTCCCTGATAAAAAGGTAAAGAGCCTTGCCAACGAATTTCTACTAGTGTTACCAAAATGAACGCATGCCGAAAATCTATCAAAGACAAAAATGCCCAATTACCTGTGGGTGCAGATTTCTCACAAGACATCCACTCTCTTTCCAGTCTCTCAGTTCTAATCCTCAAAGGGACTTTATAAAACATCTTTCGTAGATGAGCCACAAACTTCACTTCATAAATCTACTGGATACAAAAAACTCATGGACTAAATATAGACATTGGATTTATGGCATAGTATAACCTGCCTACCATCCAGTAACCCCAGGTAACCTCTCTACATTTTACCATCAGTCAAACCTTCCCATCTTTTGTGTTCCCTGCCTCAACTACCTATCTTCCCTGCCATGTATTTGCATTTTCACAGACCTGCATTTTACATATTGGCTTAAGCATCTATTCCACCCAAGAGAGAATACAAACACCAGCAGACTTTCCCTAGGCCTGAAGAAGGGTGTTTGTTTGTGCCTGAAAGCTTGTAAAGAAAAATTTTTCAACTATTTAGTTGGTTTAATAAAAAATATCACATTTACCCAAAGAACCTTGTCTACTAATGTTAAGACTTTTCAAGTGAGAACCAATATAGTGCTGTCTTTATGAACTTGTGCAAATGAACTAATATGTCTCTCCTGTAGGTTGCCAAAGCAGTATAAAATTAGTAAGACTTTGGTCATGTTTACATTTACACTTTCCACATTTTCTATAAGAAACCTACATGAAAGTGGTGACTATACGAGCCCATATCAGTTTCACTTGATTGTAGCTGAACAGATCTATAAACACAAAGTCAATGCTATGTATGGTCCAATTTCATACTTAACATCCGACTTCACTTTTGGTTACTGTAGCAGGGCACTAGGGTGCCTGCTACTGGCGGTGGTAATATGGGCCGAGCTGCCAACAACCGGGGCAGCAGGTGAGAGTTGCTAAGGCAGCTGAGTGGGTCAGCTGACTGCCAGGGGGCAGGGCCGGGCCTTTATAAACAGCCCAGGCCAAAGCCTGG